ATCTTGACAAGTGAGCGATTACAGGTTCACATTCTTCTTATTATTATTATTATTAGAGGGGTGGGTTTCCCCATGCACCGCGACTAATAGTCTATTGTACGTCCCCTTTTGATATTTTACCAGTCGCCACACCCTACCGGTTCTGGTGCGTACTATCAGCCCCGTTCAGCCAACGAGGTCGGCCCTCGGTACCTGATACTTCCCCCATCTACCAGAGGCATTGGAAACTACTTGGGCGGGAAACTTTTTGCCTAATTCAGCTCAGAGGTCTCCTAGAGACATGAGGATCTTTTACGTGCCGTAAATCTACGACACGGAACCCACGGCTTAAAGTCCCTCCTGGAGGACTTGTTCCCTGAATTTTTCCGCCCTTAAAAATTCCACGACCTCCACCGGGTTTGAACCCGCGTACTTTGAGTCATGATGTGGGAACGTTACCCCTAGACTACGGAGGCCGCTTCGAAACATTCTTAGTCTTGGGACCAGACGGCGGCAAGGGATCAACTTCATCATCAGCCTCTTTAAGCGAGGGGAGTCTAAACAGGAAGCTGGAAGGCACCTGGAACTGTTGGCAAAGGCAGAACCTCTGCCGTTGCCTGAGTTGTCGTCGTCCTGTCTGTCTACACCGCTGGACTGTCTGATACTCCCCGGCTCGCGTCTTAAATTATATTGGAATACGACGTAAACATTTGTCATAACTATATTTTCCTCCAGCGAGTCCCATGAACACTTTCTGTGTCCTATAATGAACTGCAAATCACAGTTTGGAAACAAGTGTAAGCCGAAAGGTCGCGGGTGTCGATTCCCGATGAGGTCTTTGGATGTTTCCGTTGAACTAATACTTTCAGACGCACTATGGCCTAGGGGCCAACTAATAGAAGTAAGTACCATGAATCTCTCCTGAGGATAAAAGGCGACCGGCGCGTGAGGCTGACAACCTTACCTACATCTATGAGCCGATTTTCTAGGAAATGAGGACGCCTCGACGTCTCACAACCCTGTGGGCCTCCACGGCCTGTTGCAGGAATGGATTTGCCTTTGATATAGTTGAAGTCTTCATCACAGTGAAAATACCTGTTGTGGTCGCCTGGGTTATGGCACTCTGCTGTAGTCTGGTAGTTGATTGTCGACGTTTCGGAGGACCATGTCGCCATCCATAACCCAGAGGACCACCAATGGGAACAAATTGTTGGGAATAAGCCTTGTTAGGATATTTGTTGGATAGACACACATACTCAAATATGGGCGAATTCTCAGATTATAAATTCAATACCGGAGACAGATTAATCAAAATATTTTTCTCTTCATAGAAAAATTGTGTTGAAAATACTCTAAAAAGTAGGCAGTGAAAAATCACTGCTTTTCTGCAGTTTGCAGTCCGTTTGTCATGACACTGATTGCTATCTCAGGAACAGGGCAAGAACACCTGCCTCCTCACAGCTGTGAAAGTGCATCTCAGTGGCGTATCTCCCTCTCCCTTGTCACTACATGCATTGAACATACACTATACAGGTACAAGCCTGGGTAAGACATGTAAATGCAAGGGATTTTGTTTGTAAAAGTCGTCAAACTGTTTCGACCTACTTTTCATACTTGGTAGTCATTCTTAACCCAAACTGAATGTATTGTCTGGTGTAGGCGACTGTACATGGGGTTTGGATTGGTAATTGGTTTTATTGGACTCTTAAAATTCATAACCACAAGCAATTATAGTGCTTTCGCTAATCTGGACACTTCAAAATTCACTATAGCGCAAACTAATTCTTCTCAGTTTATCTTCGCTAGCCGTTGCTTTATAGCGGATCCCAATAATGTCCTATTCTGAGCTCGTCTTTGCCGACCAGCGGCTATCTCGCACTTAACCCATGGCTCCAAATATTCTCACATTATCAACTGAATTTAAAGTCAAATTTATGTTACGACCGACGGTCAGTCAGCCAGTTTGTCTTGGTGTCAAGCCGCTTTTGGGACCTAAGATCTGATTTTTATTACTGTCAGACAGTTGCGGATTTTTTCATATGTGACGCTCTATCTGACGAGAGGGCGGTACTGGCGTTTAAAATTACTGGTGGCCCTCGCCAGCGCAGTCCTATTTACTGTAGTCAAAATTAGTGGTACATGTCATGTATATTTTCGATTTTACATTTCGGCATTCTGCATAGTCAGTTGTCAAGAGTAACTATCTCCTGAAATACCGAGACCAATAAACACGTCTTCGATCATACCGCACCACACACTGATAGAGAAACGACGTTGAATTTGTTTCCACAGCTCTATATGGACTGTTGTGAGGCTATCGATACGAGTTTTGTGTGTTGCTGATTCCGTTACGGGTGAAAGTAGCTTCATTGGTGAATAGTATTAAGGCGCGTCCACATTACTCTTGCTCGTGCTCGCCAGGCTTGTGCTCGAAAATATTCGGCCACACTATTTCAATTGCTCGCCAGGCTTCAGTGCGTGAGGATCCGTATATTTACTCGTAGTGTGTATAGGCTGTAGTCGTATTTTAATTTATTGGCTATAGTTTTTAAATTAAAAATTTTAAATTTGCTTGTCTCGTGACTTGTCATATCGTCCATATTACTCGCGAGCATAGCGAATCACAAGAGCACGAGTAATGTGGACGCGCCTTTAATGGAAGCAACTGGCTAGTAGCATGTAACCAATGGCAAAATTCTATCCGCATTGCACTGTCCCCAGGGTGTAGATTTTGCACACGCTGTGGGTGAAAGAGGTACAAACCGTCATCGTGGAATGTTCGCCATACATGTGTCCGTGAAACACCAAGAGCTGTAGAAATCTTCACATGTTACTAGTAGGGCTATGCTGTACCATTTCAAGAATGCTTTCCTGTTCCTCCACATGCTGTTGACGTGTTCATTCAGATGAGACATGAGCACTGGGAAGCGTGCCACCTTCACGCAGTGTATTGAACACCTTGGAAAACACTCTCCGATCAGGGATTCTGGGCATAGGAAACCGTCGACAACATTCTTCAATAGCAGCAGTGGCGCTGCCATCGCAGTTTCGTTCAAGTCACTAAATCCAGTCAAGACCTGACGTAGCTCATTACTCTCTGACTGTGAAGTCAGTAGTTCAGAAAACCACTCACTTTCTCTAACCGCTCACTTACTTCAAGCAGTGGGATTTGATATCCTCTTTTAAGAGGTCAGGGAGTCAAAGTCAGGATTACTTGATGACTGACGGCTTACCGCCAATCAGTTCGTCTTGATGACAGGCCCCTTGGGACTCACGACCAGCATTTCTTTCAATTGAATACTTGCTCTCAAAGCCCTTATGCAACATCCTCTCTGACAAGAGTATGGGTCTATCCTTTACTACTGCTGCTGGTCATCGCCAGCTCAGTCATTCTAAGGTCCCAGTCCCGCGGGACTCGTGTTCATGTTTTACTGTCTCCGATTCGAGGCTCCCTCTAACTGGAGGGCGAGAACCCCGTTTTTATATCTCCCAGGAATCGGGTTCCCTTTTCGTCGCTTCCTACGACTCGCAGGGCTACGATGGAGATATTCGACCCCGCTTCCACACGAGTGAACTGGTGCTCGCTATATACCCACGGAGCGGACCCAATCGAAAACGGTTCCTCTCATTTTGTGTGCGTGTCTGTTGCCATGGAAAGGTATTCACCGTGCCTTTGCCTAGCAACGGGCATCTCTTCTCGCTCTACTATTCATGTCACAGGATGAACATGATGCGACGAAGTCATACTGTAACTGTCTTCTTTATAAAGCCGTAGGCTGATATAAAATTATTTTGTTCTGTAGTCGTATTTTCTGCGTCTCCGGTCTGTGTCTTATAGTGAACAACCGCCACCTCTTCGATCTCTGAATATGAACATCATAAGCATTGTGTTATATAGGACGCATTTATTTCTCATATATTAATTAATTATTTATCCATTAACAAGAAATTAATAAGTGGTTAGTAACATATGCATCAGAAGTAGAAGATTTATTTCTTTGCTCAGGCTGTTGCTTGTCTGTGTTATCTGGAGCTTCATTTTCACTGTCACGGGACTGTACATAGCGGATCCGAGACGCCGAGAGGAAGGAAAGAATTATGGACAAATTACTGAGACAAATGAGGGCGCTTAGAGCGCAGAACTGGTCATCTCCTCGTATCTATCCTTCTTGGTTTTCTCTTTGTATATAGACTGCTATTCTTCCTTTCTTCCTTTCTTTCCTCTCCCAACATTGCTCTTAACACTGCCCTGCCTCTATGTCGTGCCACTTGCCCAGTGCTCTGTTCGCGTCCCAGACAGCCTGGCGTTTTTACTTGGCCAGAAAATGCTAATGCAGGATTCCTCACGGAAATTATCTTCGATGGCCCTAAAATGAGTTTGATGGGCTTTATATCCACCCCCTTGCACCATAGTGGTGCACGCTCTTGCACAGATACTCTTACGTACTCAGAGAACTGGCAAGACCGACATCTCCTTGTAGGGATGCAACCATCTTCTTGGCATATGTCGGTAGCGTTTCGTAACTTTATTGCAGATCTGAGGTTCTCACGTCGGTTGAGTATGATGTGACGTCCTACATTTTCGGAGAAACGTGCTGATACTAGTACATCTTCGGGGTAGAGGAATTTCTGTACATGAAGGTAGCACTTTTAATCGCCACGTTAATATATCATTTACCATCTATAGAGTGTCTCATCCCAGACGACAGAAATCTTCTTAGGAACTTTGGTGCACGCTATCATAACCCTTATCTCATATCGGTGCATTTGTTGTTGCGTTTAGCCTCTGGTACAGGAGTTCCAGAGAAAGGTCAGTTATTTAACATGTTGTTAGGTGTATGAGTGACTAAAGACGGGGTTTGGATTGGTAATGGGATTTATTGATCACTTACAAATAGTAACTCAAGTAACTATAACACGATCGCTACTCTCCACGCTGTGTAGATAAGTAGAGCACACTCTAAGCCTTCTCAGTCTGCTTTCACTTGTCGTTTCCCGGTAACGATTCTTAACAATGGAGATTCTTCAGCTTCTGTGCTCACGTTGTTACTGTCCGGCGAATATTCCACAACTGAACTAAACCCAGAGTCAAGAGTTACTTTACGACTGACGGTTTACCACCAATCGGTTCGTCTTGTCGACAAACCCTTTGAGACTCATAACCAGTAATTTTTCCCCCAACTGAACACTTGCGGTCATGGTCCTTATGTAACATCCTCTCTGACGAGAGGACTGATCTGTAGTTTACAATTGCTGCTGGCCCTCGCCAGCACAGTCATTCTCAGTTCCGAGACCCGTGGGACTTTACTGTCTCTGATGCGAGACTCCCGCAATCTGGAGGGCCAAGTCTTCATATTTATATCCCCTAGGAACAGGGTGGCCCGGTTATACCCCCGTTGTCCCACTGATAACTCCTTGGTCTGGACCACGTAGAATACACCGTTTCCAACAGTTCCTCTATTGGTGCGTATGGATTCGTTGCCGTGGGAACGTGTTTGTTTGCGTCATGCAGTAACGGCTGCGCACATTTGCTTATTAAGAATCTGTTACCTAGCAGCGGATGTTGTTTCGTTGTGCGTTTCGCGGTCATTACCCAGTAACGGGTCTACACGCTACAATATGCATTGCTCAAGCCCAGACCAACGTGGCATCTTTTATTTAATTAATATAAACTAAGGAACTCTTCAGACTAGAATTTTATGCTATTTGTGTTTTTGCTTTCAACAGTCTTGAATGTTCTTCCTATACGGACTTCAGTTCCAGTGATTCAGACAGGCATATTTCTGCGAATCAAATTCCAGTTACTTCGGCTTGGACGTCTCTCGAATAATGGCCCAAACCGAAGGCAAGCTACCACATGAAAACCATCTTCATTCTCTCACACTGGGGCTGAAAGACCAACTGGACACTTGCACTGTAGAACAAGCCATACTGTGTGTTGCACTCTGCCTTATAACTCCTTTGCCTTGTCTCGGTTTCTCTTCATGGTATGGGATGTTTGTTCTTGAGTCTTCGCTGTCCAGCATTCTAATTGACTGCGCCTCATCTTTTGAGGATTTCATTCCACATGTACTGTAAGAATTCATGAAAAAATTGTATTTTAAAATAAAATATATTTTTAAACGTGTATGAGATCTGGGATAGCGCAGTCTGTTAGCGACTGGCTACGGGCTGGACGTGAGGAGCCGGGATAGCTCAGTCGGTATAGCGACTGGCTACGGGCTGGACGTGAGGAGCCGGGATAGCTCAGTCGGTATAGCGACTGGCTACGGGCTGGAGTTCCGAGTGCCGGTAGGGTCAAGAATTTTCTCTTCTCCACGTCGTCCAGACAGGCTCTGGGGCCCACCTGGCCTGCTATCCAATGGATACCGGGGGCTCTTTCCCCGGGAATAAAGCGGCAGGAGCGTGAAGCTGACCAATCACCTCCAACTAGTGCCGAGGTCAACAAAATATGGTTTTATACACCCACTCCCCCATACGTCTTCATGGCGTAGTGCTTAATTAGTTAAACACAGGGAGAAGTTTACCGTCAAACGTTTATGCCTAGGTCTCAAATTCCTTTCCAACATAATCTCAAAATTAATGTCACGATCTCTTGGGGTGTGATGTCATGTAGATGGTAGGTAGGTACAAGCGTCTGGGAGGAACTTGCTACATTCAGGGTAAAAGATGGACGCGACAAGTTCCTCTGAAATATTTATACCTGTCTACCACACTACAGGGCGTCACATTAACATTCACGGCCGTGAGAACCTCAGATATTCGCGCTGTCACTGTCTTCTTACCTTAATGATTTGAACACAATTAAGAAGAGATTAATTAATTAATATGTTCCATTTTTCACGTGTGTAAGAACCAACCTTTTCGGAGTAGCTGTTATTATTTCAGCTTCAAATTGAAGAGGTCCCATGCTCGAATCTCGATCCAGAGGCGCAAATTCAGCCAGCTGCATCCTTCCAGGCAGACACTGCTAGAGTATCCCAGAACAGGCCACTAGTGCTTCCCCACTGTTTCTCTTTGCATAGTAATGTCATTCGACGATACATAATATATGATGTGTAACAAATACACAATTAAATTCAATTTATTTTCATAAATAAAAGGTAAAAAACGCATAGCTATCCCTGTAACAGGCCGTGAAGACCCATAGGTTTGTGAGACGTCGAGGCTCCCACATTTTCTCTAGACAGTCGGCTCACAGATGGCGGTAAGGTTATCAGCCTTACGCACCGACTGCTCTTTACCCCCAGGAAGATTCCTGGTACTGTTAGAGGCTGAGCCGACCCCAGGTTCATAGTGCGGCTGGAAGGATTAGGTCAATTGAAAGATCCATACATGTGCAGGTAAATATGTGTTTAGGCCAGTCGCCATATCGCTGTTTTCCATCCTAATCGAATATTGTTTTCTTGAAACATTATTCGGAAATCATGTACCAGACCCGTTTTTAATTTAAAATTAAGGTTGTACAGATACAGAGCCGTCTGGATACTGATTTACACCAAATATACTTTTAAACGTGTGGAGAAGCTGAGTCTGATTGTAGCTTTTACTTCTCCACGACGTGGGATCGAAGCAGCATGTTTCCTGCGCGTCACAGAATGCTGTGTCTCATTTCCGGTTAATAGCACATTCGCTGCTGAATTTGCGGTGACGGTGAATATTGCTAGGATTGCTTACGAGAAGGATGGCGACAGTTATGATGTTGGCACCACTGGGAAGTACGAAAGCGTTAGAAATTGGTACAGTAACATACAAACAAACAAACTTATTTATTGATAGTAAATAACAAGGAAAGATAAATGGACACACGGCCGGCGATATAGGAAGGAAATAAACAAAAGAGAAAGAAAAAAGAAATGAAAACAGTCAAAAGGACATAATAATTGCATGAATAGAAGGTATAGAGAGAGAAATCAGAAAGAATATGAAAGAAATGAAGGAAGAAGATGGAAGTATAAAGAAAAAAAAAGTCGGAAGAAAGGGAGATGCAGTGAGAGAAAGGCAGACAAGAAGAAAGATGAAACACAGAAAGAAACGGAATAGGTTCCAGAAGAAGAGGATACGCAGGAAAAATAAAGAAAGAATAGAAGAAATGAAGGCTGAGAAAGGAACGAAGGAAGGCAGCATGGACAGTGCACAGTGCAATTTGTCTGCTTTACGTAATTCGCCAGTCCGGTCACATCACCCGCGGTGCGTTCCTGCAGTTAGAAATGCTACGGCTTTTTCAGCCGGACGTATTATCAGCTCTGGAACCAGTTATCTCTCAGTTCTTACACCGGTGTTGTCCTTTTAACTCTGAGCATGGCACGGCTTTCTTGTTGCCTTGCAAACTCCTTACCCTTTCGCACTTACCGTACAGAGTAGGCCGCGCCATAGCTCAAGCGTCGGCCCGGGTTCGATCCCGGGTCTGGTCAAGTGAGATTTGTGATGGACAGTGTGGCGCTGGGGCAGGTTTTCTCCGAGTACTTCGGTTTCCCCTGCCCATCTTCATTCCACCAATTGCTCCACAATCACCCTCACCTATCATCTGGGGCTGGTACAATAGGACAGTAATGGCCGCAGTACAAGGGACTTAATCCCACCCCACTAGCAATAAAAAAATACCTTACAGAGTATCAAGTGTTGGAAGCAGTGATTATTAGGACGAATCCTACTCTAGGCTTTTTCCATCTTGCAACTGTACGTCACTTTACATTTCTGCGAGTTAGTACAATGAGGAGGGACGAATTTCTGAACAAGTATGTAGTCTTCTTACCTTTCAGTGATTACATCTGCCATTACTGGGATCAATACGATTGTTTCAGGGTTATGCATATTCAGGACGCTCTCATTTCAAATTTCGGCCGGGACACCGGATAACCTCACTGAGGATTTTCGTGGCTTTCCTCAGTCATTCATTCATTCATCTGTAATCTGTCAAGACGACAGGTCCACAGTCTTCCAAAACAGTTCCTCCACTTGATGCTATCTAGAGCTTTCCTCAGTCCCTTCAGACAAATACCGGGATAGTACATCGATTAGGCCACGACCGCTTCCTTCAAAATCCTTTCCAGTTCGTCATTCATCTATCGTTCGACGCCGGATGTTCTAGTTACTGACGGCGTCGCAGAATGGCCTGCACAAAAGAAACTCTTACATGAAGAGCGCCCACAATTTAAGTAAGAAGTTCGTTCTTCTATTCGTCGCCTGAAGTTTCCTACAATAAACTGCTCCGAAACAATGAAATTCCTTAGTTATTATATATCACATGTGTTTCACAAATTCTTAATAATTGCTTGAAATTTCATATATTTTATTATTTTTTTTATTATTTTTAACATTGGGTGAGACTGAGTCCATTTGATACTACCGTTACTGTTTGGCCTATTGTAATAGCCCCGGATGGCAGATGGTGATAATTGTGTATCAATTGGTGGAATCCGAATTGGCAGGGGAAACCGAAGTACTTGGAGAAAATCTGCCCCAATGCCACTTTGTCCACCATAAATCCCACATGACCTGACCCGAGATCGAACCCGTGCCGCCTGAGTTATGGCACGGCCAAAACTTCTGCTTGCACTTTAGTAAAGTATGTAAGCATTGTAAACACTTCTTAAACTGACACACGAAATTTTGTGATACGGAATTATTCCTACTTATCATTAAGTTACGGTTGTAAACAGAATTTTACGGCTAAGTGGTTTAGTGTACATTGGAGAGATGAATGCATTTTGGTGGGGAAGCATGGAGCAAAGAGACCGATAGGAATACTGAAGAGTAGCTGGGAATATTATATTAAAATAGAAGTTAAGGAAACATGGACAAAATCTTACAGAAGTGTGCTACCTAATCAAGTAGTTTGGAAGATGGACAAAGAGTCACGCTCTCTCCGTGTACGGTTAGTGCAACAATTGTATCGCCGTATAAGCCTTTTCTCTCTCGGAAACTGTCATAATGATAAAGAGACAGAAAGAAAGAGGCATCGTCAGTAACGAGGCGTGCCAGGTGTCACTGCGGGTGTACCCCCGGCAGAGCCCCTAGCCCCGGCTGTTGTACTGTCTGGGTCACGTTTGTGTCTCCACACCTGAGCAACGGGTTCACATCCGGCGCTGGGTATATAGGTCAGCGAGCGACTTGTGTCGGAACCCGCTCTATCGCACCGTTGAACTTGGTGGAGTGACGGTTCTCATACACGTGGTCCGACAGAAGAGAGATTCGTTTTCGCGCTACCGCCTCTCCTCCCTTCAGCAGAGCGGTTTCGCATGAGGAGGTGCTACGTTTACGGAACTTCTTTTATATGGGTAAGATTCTGACCTTCGGGACAGAAGATCCCGGAATGAAACCAACCGGCTCCACTACGGATTATTACCTCCACAAAATAATTACAGGAATAACACTCTCTGTATATGGTGAATATAGGGCACCCGGTAGCGTAGTTGGTTAAGGCATTATGCTATAAGCCTAAAGGTCGCAGGTTAAATTCTTGATGAGGTCATTGGAATTTTCAATTTACCTACCTTTCCAGTCGCACTATGGCCCTGAGTTCGACTCAGCCTCTAACAAAAATGAGTACCAGGAATCTTCCTGGAGGGTCAAGGGCTGGCGGCAAGCAAGGCTGACAGCCTCACCTCCACCTGTGAGCCTAGTGTCTAGAAAATATGAGAGCCTCGACGTCTCACAGCCCAATGGGCCTCCACGGTCTGTTGCAGGGATAGCTTTACCTTTCATATGGTGAATATCATGCCGTCAACTGTGGTGAGGAACATAAATTGCCCTGTTCTATACCCTTTGCCAGTCATCGTCATTTTCGCTGTCATCCTATCATCGGAAATTAAACGGAAATACCGCCCACTGAGCACTCCCATAAACAAGGTATTCCGAGTAGAACTCGTAAAACCTATTTTCCTACTGCACTAAATTCTGGCCGTGCATGTCTTATGTTATTAAATTTATACTTTGATGATGTATTTAGTAGTAGTAAATGTATAGTCCGACAGTGAAGCTAAATTTAAATCACCCGGTAGCCCGCGCGTATATGGTCATTGGATCGAATTCCGGCAGAGTCAAATTTCTTTTTCTTACAGTTTAAATAT